ACAAACATTTAAACACAGCAAATAAATCTGGAGCTCCTGGAACAGCTGTTCCAGAACAATTATTATTATTATTATTATTATTATTATTATTATTATTATTATCATTATTATTAAAAAAAGATGTAGGACTGGATTTTGCATTGGGCATTCTGCAGATCCTGCATGGTTAAGTATTATTATTATTATTTAAAAAGATGTAGGGCTGTATTAAAGTGATGCAGTGAATGATGTCAATGTATGTAGAAGAATGTTTCATTGTTTGCCTGCATTTGTAGAGGTATAAAAGGCACAGGCAACGCTCTGGTTGCTTTTGGACACAGCTCCACTCCAGGGTCCCAGCTGGGAATAAAGCCGGACTTTTCTTTCTCCAGAAAGGATCTCTCATAATAATAATAATAATAATAATAATAATAATAATAATAATAATAATTTATTTATACCCCGCTACCATCTCCCCAAGAGACTCAGTGCGGCTTACATGAGGCCAAGCCCACAGTACATCAATAAACAAAAGCACTGGGCATTCTGCAGGTCCTACATGGTTAAGTATTATTATTACTATTATTATTATTATTATTATTATTATTATTATTATTATTATTTAAAAAGATGTAGGGCTGGAATAAAGTGATGCAGTGAATGATGTCAATGTATGTAGAAGCATGTTTCTTTGTTTGCCTGCATTTGTAGGGGTATAAAAGTCACAGGCAACGCCTTTGTTCTCGCTCTGGTTGCTTTTGGACACAGCTCCACTCCAGGGTCCCAGCTGGAAATAAAGCCATACTTTTCTTTGCATGGTTAAGTATTATTATTATTATTATTATTATTATTATTATTATTATTAAAAACGATGTAGGGCTGGATTTTGCATTGGGCATTCTGCAGATCCTGCATGGTTAAATATTATTATTATTATTATTATTATTATTATTATTATTATTAAAATATATGTGGGGCTGGATTCTGCATAGGGCGTTCTGCAGATTCTGCATGGTTAAGTATTATTATTATTATTATTATTATTATTATTATTAAAAACGATGTTGGGCTGGATTTTGCATTGGGCATTCTGCAGATTCTGCATGGTTAAATATTATTATTATTATTATTATTATTATTATTATTATTATTATTATATTTTTCCCCGTGAGAACACAAAGCAGCTAACAATCCCACACTTTAGTCAAGTTTTTAAAAGTGCAATGCAAAAGTTAAAAGCAATTAAATAGTGCAATGTGGTAAAAACAGATTAAAATCTAATAATTCCACTTAAAACAGACTTTAGAACGCAATTCCACACACAACCTCCCCTTATCCTTCCCCAATTTTAGGATGTGAAGAGACCCCCCAAAAAGCTTGAGGAGTGATGCTGAGCGCAGGCCGGGCGCTTAGCAACCGACTCCAAATCTCCCGGTGACCTGCTTTTCTCCCCGGCAACCGCTCTGCTTCCCCGGCAACCGCCCTCCCTGGTCCCTCTGGGCCTGCCTCTTGCAAAGGGAAGGAGCGAGGCACAATGTTATGGCTCCTTTTGCTCAAGGAGAGCCCGGATTTGCCTCTTGCTGACCATTGAGAATCCCAGGTGGGCAAACCATTTGGAGAAGGGACTCCATTCCCAGTTGCCATGAGAAGCAGAGCCAGGCCGAACTGGAACGCATTTATGCTTCCTAAGGAAACATGACACAATTCGGTGAGTCTTTGGCTCGTTTTTGCCTTTTCTGGGATGTTTCTTAAGCAAACAAAAGTACAGCTGCGGAGTCTCATTACTTGATGTGATTAGACCCATTGAATCCATTTACTGAATTGTGTAGGCAAATATTCACAATCGAACGGGTTTGTTCTAATAGGAATTAGCAAAAGGGAACGAGGGATTTTTTGATCATAATAAGGCATATTTTACATATTCATAATAAGGCATATTTTGCATGTTTAGTTTAGGTGCCAATCTCAATATAGATTGAGTCTTCATGATAGGAAATGCTCAAGACTGGGGACTGGGAACTAGGGAGCTAGTATTTTGCCCCCCCCCCCAACCAATCACTGATATATATTTTCTGTTCATCGTGGGAGTTCAGTGTGCCATATTTGGTTCCATCATTGGTGGAGTTCAGAATGCTCTTTGATTGTAGGTGAACTATACATCCCAGTAACTGCAACTCACATATGTCAAGGTCTATTTTCCCCCAAGAGCGCCCCTGGGCAACATCAACCCTACCGCGAATGCTTACTTTGCGTAATGGGTGAGCCGCCCCTGGCAAAGAGTGAAGGAAGGAAGAAAAGAGGTAGGAAAAGAAGAAAGGAGAGAAAGTAGAAGGAAAAGAAAAGGGGGAAAGAAGGAAAGAGGTAGAGAAGGAAAGAAGGAGAGAAGGAAAGAAAAAAGGGAAGGAAGAAAAGGGGGAGCGAAGGAAGGAGAGAAAGAGGGAGAGAAGGAAATAAGGAATAAGAGAAAGAAGGATGGAAGCAAAAAGTGAAGGAAGGAAGGAGAGAAGGAAAAAATAAAAGGGAAGGAAAGAAAAGAGGGAACAAAGGAAGGAGAGAAAGAGGGAGAGAAGGAAATAAGGAAAGAGAGAAAGAAGGATGGAAGTAAAAAGCGAAGGAAGGAACGAAAGAAGTAGAGAAGGAAGGAAGGAGAGAAGGAAAAAAGAAAAGGGAAGGAAGGAAAAGAGGGAACGAAGGAAGGAGAGAAAGAGGGAGAGAAGGAAATAAGGAAAGAGAGAAAGAAGGATGGAAGCAAAAAGCGAAGGAAGGAGAGAAGGAAAAAAGAAAAGGGAAGGAAGGAAAAGAGGGAACGAAGGAAGGAGGGAAAGAAGGAGAGAAAGAGGGAGGGAAAGTTGGCCACAGCAACGCGTGGTGGCAGAGGCGGCCCTAGGTAATTTTCAAGGGTAAGTAAACAGTCCACTGATCTATATTTTCTGTTTGTCGTGGGAGTTCTGTGTGCCATATTTGGTTCAGTTCCATCATTGGTGGAGTTCAGAATGCTCTTTGATTGTAGATGAACTATACATCCCAGTCTATTTTCCCCCAAGAGTGTCCCTGGGCAAAATCAACTGTACTGCAATAGCTTACTTTGCGTAAGGGTTGCGCCGCCCCTGGGTTCCAATCTCAATACAGATTGAGTCTCCGTGATAGGAAATGCTCAGGACTGGGAACGAGGGGTTTTCATCTCATAATAATAAGGCAGTGGTTCTCAACCTTTCTAATGCCGTGACCCCTAAATCAAGTTCCTCATGTTGTGGTGACCCCCAACCATATTTTTGTTGCTACTCCATAACGGTAATTTTGCTACTCTTATGAAGCATAATGGAAATATCTGATATGCAGGATGTATTTTCATTGTTACAAATTGAACATAATTAAAACATAGATAATGACCACCAGAGCCAGCCCTAGGTAATGTTCAACTGTAAGTAAACAGTATTTTTGGCGCATATTGTTTTTGTGATCATCTCCATTTCTAAGCTGAAGAGCCAACGTTGTACATAGACACCAGAGTGGTACCTATTGATCTACTCACATTTGCATGTTTTCGAACTGCTAGGTTGGCAGAAGCTGGGGCTAATAGCAGGAGCTCACACCACTCCCCGGATTTGAACTGCCGACCTTTTGATCAGTTAAAACAGTATTAAACATTTATATGCTCAGATGGCAATGGTAAATACTGAAATAGATATTAAAACCTTCTAAGGCTGTGACAGGATCTATTATTATTATTATTATTATTATTATTATTATTATTATCTATATATATATAAATGCTCTGTGCGTCATGAGTACCTTAAAAACAAAAGAACCAATGAACGAAATCACACCAAATTTGGCAACAAAACGTCTCACAACACAAGGAGTGACCATCACTCAAAAAATTATGAGTTTGTCATTTGGGAGTTGTAGTTGTTGGGATTTATAGTTCAACTACAATCAAAGAGCATTCTGAACTCCACCAATGATGGAATTGAACCAAACTTGGCACACAGAACTCCCATGACCAGCAGAAAAGACTGGAAGGGTTTGGTGGGCATTGACCTTGAGTTTGGGAGTTGTAGTTCACCTACATCCAGAGAGCGCTGTGGTGTCAAACAATGAAGGATCTAGACCAAACTTGGCACGGATACTCCATATGCCCAAATATGAACACAGATGGAGTTTAAGGGAAATGGACCTTGACATTTGGGAGTTGTAGTTTGTTGGGATGTATAGTTCACCTACAATCAAAGAGCATTCTGAACTCCATCAATGATGGAATTGAACCAAACTTGGCACACAGAACTCCCATGACCACAGAAAATATTATGGAAGGGTTTGGTGGGCATTGACCTTGAGTTTGGGAGTTGTAGTTCACCTATATCCAGAGAGCACTGTGGTGTCAAACAATGATGGATCTGGACCAAACTTGGCACAAACACTCAATGTGCACAAATATGAACACAGGTGGAGTTTGGGGGAAAATAGACCTTGACATTTGGGAGTTGTAGTCACTGGGATGTATAGTTCACCTACAACCAAAGAGCATTCTGAACCCCACCAACGACAGAATTGGGGCAAACATTCCACACTGAACCCCCATGACCAACTGAAAATACTTTAGGCCATCCAGTCCAACTCCCTTCACAAGCGCAAGAAAACGTAATCAAAGCCCTCCCAACAAAGAGCCTATTGACTCACATTTGCATGTTTTCGAACTGCTAGGTTGGCAGAAGCTGGGGCTAACAGCGGGAGCTCACACCACTCCCCGGATTTGAACTGCCGACCTTTTGAACAGTTAAAACAGTATTAAACATTTACATGCTCAGATGGCAATGGTAAATACTGAAATAGATATTAAAACCTTCTAAGGCTGTGACAGCATCTATTATTATTATTATTATTATTATTATTATTATTATTATTATTATTGCAGGATGTCCCGTTTAATAAACCTTTTCCTATGGAAAGAGTCCTGGGACTTTGTGTCAATATAGGAATGCCATCTTCCCATATTTTCTCCTCCTTTCCTTTGTAGACCTGAATCCACGGGAACAGCTTCGGACGCGGCGCCGGAGGCCAAAGGACGTCACCTTGCACAGGTTTCTTTTCCCAAAAGCATGTTTCCAAAGCCATTTCCAGCACCCTTAAAGGGAAAGGCTGCCTTCCAAAACGCCCTTGAGGTGCCTAACGTGCTTCTCCTTGCTTTTAATGAAGGCAGAAGAGGACGAGACAAGGACTGAAATAATTGCGCACGAAGGTAAGTCCTGCACGCAGAATTAGGATCAGGAGTCTCTGTGAAGTGGAGCCAAAAGGCAGTTCGTAGTCATATGCAGCAAACAGTCCAACAAGCACAAAGTACACAAATAGCCCAGAGTTCTTTCCAAGGGTCAAAGCCAAGCAATCTCACCAGTTCTACGCTGTTGAATTTGTTGGGACTCCTCTAGGAAAGAGTCATTTGAAAAACTACGGCACAGTGTGCTGCCAGATGTCCCTTCTGCAAATAATAATAATAATAATAATAATAATAATAATAATAATAATCTTTATTTATACCCTGCCACCATTTCCCCGATGGGGACTCGGGGCGGCATACATGAGGCCAAGCCCAAACAACAAATTACAGCAAAATAAAACCAGCAACACAAGCAACAAACAACAACATCATAATTACATAAAACATATGAATACATTAACAATATAAAATTACAATAAACACAGTCACAGTGACAATGGGTGGGCTACATGTGCAAAAAAATAATTAAAAGAAAACTGATTAAAAACTTGGGTGAGATAAAGGAGAAGCAGGTTATTTGTGGAGGGGGGCTCATTAAAACGGGGGCTGAGGAATCAAGCTTTCCCATGAAGGAGGGGGGATGTATACTCCAATGACAAAACGTTGAGGCTGAGCAATAGTGTGAGTTTGTATAGCTACTCACCAAAGGCGCAGTGGAAAAGCCAGGTTTTAAGGTCCTTTTTAAAGGTTTCTAGGGTAGGGGCTTTCCTGATCTCTGCGGGTAATGAGTTCCAGAGTTGGGGGGCCACAGAGGAGAAGGCTCTCTCCCTTGTGCTTACAAAGCAAGCCTGTGAGACTGGCAGGGGCAAAAGAAGGGCCTCCCCAGAAGATCGGAGGGTCCGAGATGGTACATGGAGGGAGATACGGTCATGCAGGTAGGCGGGTCCCAAACCGTTTAGGGCTTTGTAGGTGATAACCTGCACCTTGAATTGGGACCGGAAAATAAATGGCAGTCAGTGGAGCTCCTTGAACGGGGGGGGGGGGGTTGACCACTCCCTGTAAGTCGCCCCAGTTATTAATCTGGCTGCTGAATGTCCTACTGGTCAATCGTAAGGCCGAACAGGGCATAGGGTTACAGCCTGTGTTAGACGGGGTCGCACTCCCCCTGAAGACGCAGGTTCGCAGCTTGGGAGTGATCCTGGACTCATCGCTGAGCCTGGAACCCCAGGTCTCAGCGGTGGCCGGGAGAGCTTTTGCACAATTAAAACTTGTGCGCCAGCTGCGCCCGTACCTTGGGAAGTCGGATCTGGCCACGGTGGTCCACGCTCTTGTTACATCCCGATTAGATTACTGCAACGCACTCTACGTGGGGTTGCCTTTGAAGACTGTTCGGAAACTCCAACTAGTCCAGCGGGAGGCAGCCAGATTGCTCACCGGAGCGTCATACAGGGAGCATACCACCCCCTGTTATATCAGCTCCACTGGCTGCCGGTTCAGTTCTGAGCACAATTCAAGGTGCTGGTTTTGACCTACAAAACCCTATATGGTTCCGGTCCAGCGTATCTGTCCGAACGCATCTCCCTCTACGTCCCACCCCGGAGTTTGAGATCATCTGGGGAGGCCCTGCTCTCGACCCCAGCTATCACAAGTGAGATTGGCGGGGACGAGGAGCAGGGCCTTCTCGGTGGTGGCCCCCCACCTGTGGAATTCATTCCCCGGGGAAATTGGATCAGCGACATCACTCCTTTCCTTTAGGAAAAAACTGAAAACATGGATTTGGGACCAGGCATTCGGACAATCAGGCAGATAGAGAAAGGACTTTGAGAATGGCCAGGAAATGACTAATGGAATGGAATTATGGAACTCTGAAAGACGAACACTGAGCATGAGATTAGTTTTTATATGATGTGTTATATTCTGATTGTTTTGATTATTTTAACTGTGATAATTGTTTTAACTATGGTTTTGTACAGTATGTGTAATTTGTATAGGCATCGAATTGTGCCTTTTTGTAAGCCGCCCTGAGTCCCCCCCTCGGGGGTTGAGAAGGGCGGGGTAGAAGTACCCAAAATAAATAAATAAATAAATAAATAATAAACTTTATTTTACTCCGCCACAATTTCCCCGATGGGGACTCGGGGCGGTGTACATGAGGCCAAACAACAAATTACAGCAAAATAAAACCAAAAACACAAGCAACAAACAACATCATAATTACATAAAACATATGAATACATTAACGATATAAAATTACAATAAACACAGTCACAGTGACAATGGGTGGGCTACATGTGCAAAAAAATAATTAAAAGAAAAACTGATTAAAAACTCGGGTGAGATAAAGGAGAAGCAGGTTATTTGTGGAGGGGGGCTCATTAAAACGGGGGCTGAGGAATCAAGCTTTCCCATGAAGGGGGGGGGGGACGACGACACATATACTCCAATGACAAAATGTTGAGGCTGAGCCATAGTGTGAGTTTGTATAGCTACTCACCAAAGGCGCAGCGGAAAAGCCAGGTTTTAAGGTCCTTTTTAAAGGTTTCTAGCGTAGGGGCTTTCCTGATCTCTGCGGGTAATGAGTTCCAGAGTCAGGGGACCACAGAGGAGAAGTCTCTCTCCCTTGTGCTTACAAAGCGAGCTTCTGAGACTGGCAGGGGCGAAAGAAGGGCCTCCCCAGAAGATCGGAGGGTCCGAGATGGTACATGGAGGGAGATATGGTCAAGAAGGTATGCGAGTCCCAAACCGTTTAGGGCCATGATGGTGAACCTATGACATGCGTGTCAGCACTGACACGCATGGCTATTTTTGATGACATGCGGCCACATGCGGCCGCATACAGAGAAGTACACCTTATAAGAGCCAATCTAATTCCATCCTTAAATTTGTAAAAGGCTCTAAAAGTTAAACATCTGCACGTTTGAGCATTGTTCACTCTATAACACAGCATAGAATATACATTCTTCTTATTTAAACTATAAATATTGCAAAATTATGTTTGTTTTTTTCTCAAAGTTGACATCCCACCCAAGTTATGCTCAGGTTTTTAGCAAATGTTGACACACCAAGCTCAAAAGGTTGCCCATCACTGGTTTAGGGCTTTGTAGGTGATAACTGTACCTTGAATTGGGACCAGAAAATAAACGGCAGCCAGTGGAGCTCCTTGAACAGGGGGGTTGACCGCTCCCTGTAACTAGCCCCAGTTATTAATTTGGTTGCCGAACGTTGGACAAGTTGTAGTTTCCGGGCCGTCTTCAAGGGTAGCCCCACGTAGAGTGCATTGCAGTAATCCAGTCTAGAGGTAACTAAGGCATGGACCGCTGTGGTCAAGTCAGACTTCATGAGGTATGGTCGCAGTTGGCGTATGAGTTTTAATTGTGCGAAGGCCCTCCTGGCCATCACCGACACCTGCGCATCAAGCGTCAGTGCTGAGTCTAGGAGGACACCCAAGCTGCGGACCTGTGACTTAGGGGAGTGCAACCCCATCCAGCACAGGCTGCTACCAAATACCCCGGTCAGACAGGCGACTGACCTGGAGGACCTCTGTCTTGTCAGGATTGATCCTCAGCTTGTTCCTCCTCATCCAGTTACTGGTCCAGTATCCTCGGGGCTTCCTTGGAGTCTGGTGGAAAAGAGTAGTGGAGTTGGGTGTCATCTGCATAGAGGTGGCACTGTACTCCAAAACTCCGGATGACCTCTCCCAGCGGTTTCATATAGATGTTAAAAAGCATAGGGGACAGAATAGAGCTTTGCGGGACCCCACAGGTCAATGGCCAGGGGTCCCCCAGCTTCACCACCTGGAACGACCTTCCAGGAAGGACAGGAGCCACAGTAAAACCGTGCCCCCGAGTCCTATCTCAGTCTCCCCAGAAGGATACCCTGGTCGATGGTATCAAAAGCTGCTGAGATGTCCAAGATAATAAGCAGGGTCACACTCCCACTGTCCAGTTCTCTGCGGAGGTCAACCACCAAGGTGGTACTGTGCCCAGAGGCGGCCCTAGGTAATTTTCAACGGTAAGCAAACAGTATTTTGGCGGGGGGGCCCCCCAACCAATCATTGATATATATTTTCTGTTTGTCGTGGGAGTTCTGTGTGCCATATTTGGTTCAATTCCATCATTGGTGGAGTTCAGAATGCTCTTTGATTGTAGGTGAACTATACATCCCAGTAACTACACTTGCCGCACTTGCTCCCTTGCCTGGCCCGCTTTGGGTCCGGAGGCGTGTCTGAAGACCCCGGCGTGTGCACCAAAAGTCACCTCTTCTCCTGACTTTCTCCTCAGCCATTGGGACCGAGAGAGAGAGAGAGAGAGAGGTGGAGATGCCACCTTTCCTGAAGGTAGGCGCAAAAACAAAGGAGGGAGCGGAGGTGGGAGATACCTCCAGCCGGAGGGGCTCTCTCTCTCTCTCTCTCTCTCTCGGTCCCAATGGCTGAAGAGAAAGTCAGGAGAAGAGGCGACTTTTGGTGCGCACGCTGGGGTCTTCAGACACGCCTCCGGACCCAAGCGGGCCAGGCGCAGCGGCTCCGCCCCTTGGCCCACCCACGGATTGGGGAGAGGAGATGGGGCGGGTGGAGTGCCGGGGGATCGGGAAAGGGAGCCGGTCATGGGGAAGGGGTCGAACGCGGAGAACGATTGAGCGCCGGCTCTGCTCGCGCACCCGGTGGCCAGGTGGAGCAGGAACGAGAGGGGCAAGGCGAGGCTCAAGGGCCCGGCCCCTTTGGGAAGAGGATCGCCCGGCAGCGAGGCAAGAAAGCCGAGGCTCCCCCCGGACTGCTAGGGCTGTTGTGAGCTGAGGGGGCGCTCCTCAAGTGGCGGTCGAGGGGCATTTACAGAGGCGCCTCTTGCGCCCCTGGCAAAAAAAAGTGTTCTGCGACCGCTTACTTCGCATAATGGACGAGCCGCCCCTGACTGTGCCCAGGCCTAAAGCCAGACTGCGAGCGATCCAGAAAATCGGTGTCATCAAGGAATCTCTGAAGCATGACAGTTTAATGCGCTTTCCCCATGTTTTGATGATAGAACCGATTCGGAAATGACATTGATCTCCCAGGAACAAAATGAGCCATTTGCACTCAGGACTTTGTTGATCATCTGTATCACTTCTTGTGTGTTTCTTCCTTTTGCGCATTGCAGCTTCTGCCTTTGCTTGGAGCGCCTTGCGCCATGGCCAGGCCCAGCCGGGACATCGAACTGGCCCGCTTGGTGCGCCGTGGGCCTCGCAATCCTCCGCCGTCCCCTTCCTTCCGTGCCTTAGCTGCGCACTTGCCCAACGTCCCCAGCTACCCTCCTTCCCGCATCCCCATCCTGGCTTCACGGAAGCACCAGAACGGCACGGAGAACCCCAGTTTCCTGGTGGAAGAGGCGCCTGTCAATCGCAGACACAGCCAGAGGGGTAACGTAGCGTGCGCCGCGGCGTCTGGTGCGCTTCCGTCTTGTGCATTGACCTCTCAAAAGCGAAAACGCCCAAGAGCCTTGTGGCATCTGCACACTTGCGCCTTCCTCGCTCCTTTCTTATCGGGGGAGATACAGCAGAATAATAATAATAATAATAATAATAATAATAATAATAATAATAATAATAATAGCAAAGTTTATTGATTAGTCCACTGACCTTATCAACATTAAAGACAAAAAACGAACGCAAGTATACACTAATCATTATCCTAAGACTCCCATAATAGTGAACTAACATACTTTCAAACTTAATAATAATAATAATAATAATAATAATAATAATAATAATAATAATAAAAATTATGTCTAATGCAGACTCGTTCTTTTCCCATTTACACAGATAGTAACAGGAAGGCTCACTCAAGGTCATAGGATTATAGAGATGGAAGGGGTCCCCAAAGGCCATCCAGTCCAACTCCTTTCTGCCAGGCAGGAAGGCATAATTACTATATTATCATCATCATCATCCTAGAGTTGGGAGGGACCCCCAAAGGCCATCCAGTCCAACCCCCTTCTTTCTCTCAGGCAGGAAAAGCACACTCTGATTCCTCCTGACAGATGGCCATTCAGCCCCTGCTTAATAATAATAATAATAATAATAATAATAATAATAATAATAATCTATATAAATAAAAATGTATTGTTTGTTTGTGGGATTAACATAACTCAAAAACCACTGGACGAATTGACACCAAATTTGGACACAAGACACCTCTCAGGCCAACAAGTGACCATTCCTCATAAAAACACCGAAAAACACAGTGGAAGAGACTTCAAAAGCCAAAAAATAAAAATTACATTACAACACATGCGCAAAATCACATATTTACACATATACACACGAAACGCATATACACAGACTGGGCTACAACAACACGTGGCAGGGGATAGCTAGTCACTCATAAAAACACTGAAAAACACAGTGGAAGTGACTTAAAAAGCAAAAAAAAAACCCCAAAAATTATATATATACATACGCAAACACACATATACACATATACATATACACAAATATATACACACATATACACACACAAAACACATACACAGACTGAGCCACAACAATGTGCCAACAAGTGACCATCACTCATGAAAACACTGGAAAACACAGACTTAAGAGACTTAAAAAGCCAAAATATAAAATAAAAAATACATTACATTACAACATATGCGCATAACCACATAAATACAAATATATATACACGCACACACACACAAAACACACATACACAGACTAGGCCACAGCAATGCGTGGCAGGGGGTGGCTAGTAGTAGTAGTAATAATAACAATAATAAYAATAATAATAATAATAATAATAATAATAATAATAATAATAATAATAATAGACTCATAGAATCATCCAGTCTCACCCCTTCTGCCAGGCAAGAAATGCACAATCTGATCCCTCCCAAAGGATCGCTATCTAGCCTCTGCTTGATGTTGATGATGATGATGATGATGATGATGATGATCATCATCATCATCATCCTCATCATCATCATAGAATCATCCAGTCCAATCGTCTTCTGCTAGGCAAGAAAAGCACAATCAAAGCRGATTGTCMCCCAGCCCCTACACCACCACCACCACCACCATCATCATTCTAGAGTTGGAAGGCCAYCCAGTCCAACCCCCTTCTTTCTCTCAGGCAGCACACTCTGATCCCTCCTGACAGAKGGCCATTCAGCCCCTGCTTAATAATAATAATAATAATAATAATAATAATAATAATAATAATAATAATAATAATAATAGACTCATYCAGCCTCACCCCTTCTGCCAGGCAAGAAATGCACAATCTGATCCCTCCCAACAGATGGCCACCCAGCCTTTGCTTGATGATGATGGTCATCATCATCATCGCCATCATAGAATCATCCAGTCCAATCCTCTTTTGCTAGGCAAGAAAGACACAATCCAAGCACCCCTGGCAGATTGTCACCCGGCTCCTACACCACCACCACCACCACCACCACCACCATCATCATCATCATCATCATCCTAGAGTTGGAAGGGATCCCCAAAGGCCATCCAGTCCAACCCCCTTCTTTCTCTCAGGGAGGAAAAGCACACTATGATCACTCCTGACAGATGGCCATTCAGCCCTGCTTAATAATAATAATTATTATAATTATAATAGAATCATCCAGTCTCACCCCTTCTGCCAGGCAAGAAATGCACAATCCGATCTCTCCCAATGGATGGCCATTCAGCCCCTGCTTGATGATCATCACCATCATAAAATCATCCAGTCCAATTCTCTTCTGCTAGGCAAGAAATGTACACTCTGATCCCTCCTGACAGATGACCATTCAGCCCTTGCTTAACAACAACAACAACAACAACAACAACAACAATAATAATAGAATCATCTAGTCTCACCCCTTCTGCCAGGCAAGAAATGCACAATCTGATCCCTCCCAATGGATGGCCATCCAGCCTTTGCTTGATGGTGATGATGATGATGATGATCATCATCATCATCCAGTCCAATCATCTTCTGCTGGGCAAGAAAAGCACAATCAAAGCACCCCTGACAGATTGTCACCCAGCCCCTACACCACCACCACCACCACCACCACCATCCTAGAGTTGGAAGGGATCCCCAAAGGCCACCCAGCCCAACCACCTTCTCACAATCCAATCCCTCCCAACAGATGACCATCCAGCCCTGCTTAATCATGATATTCATCATCTTCATCATAGAATCATCCAGTCCAATCCTCTTCTGTCAGGCAAGAAAAGCACAATCCAAGCCCCGCTTTCCATTGAGGCCAGACTTTCCGGCACACACATTCTCCCAGATGCCACAAAGCTCCAGTGTTTCTTTCCTATGCGTTGTAGTCCTAGCTCGCTGGTGTTGCTTGTGGTGCTGTAGCGGTTGCGCTGTTCTCAAGTCGAAATGCCCACAAAGACCCTTTCCCACAAACAGAAGGTGTGTAGACATCAGTGTGGGTTGCCCATGAATATACACATTGCAAGTGGAGAAGTTTGTCATGGAGATGTGTTTGTTTATGTCTATCTTATCTCTTCCTCCTCCTCCTCCTCTCTCTCCTTCTCTTCTTCTTTCTTCCTCTTTCTATCCTTCTCATCCTATTTCTCCTCTTTCTCCTTCTTCTTCATCTCCATGTCATCCACATTTCAATCTCCATCTCCTCCTCCTTCTTTGCCTTCTCTTCCTCCTCCTCCTTCTACTACTACTACTACTACTACTACTACTAATCTTTATTGATAATGCGCCCTATCTCCCCGAGAGGATTCAGGGCGGTTTCCAAACAAAAAGGGGACACATTCAATGCCATAATAAACAAACAAACAAACAAACAAACAAACAGACAAACAAACCAAATCAAAACAATAAGTAAAACATCAATATAAACTAATAATAACTAGCCAAAAATAGGTACTTAAATAAACATAATAAATCTCATCAAACACATTTGCAACATAATACAATCTAAACTTTTCTTCCTTCTTCTTTTCCTCCTCCTCCTCCCTCTTTATCTCTTTATTTTTCCCCTTCTTCTCCATCTCCGTGATATCCTCCAAATATTTCCTCCATCTCCTTCACCATCTCCTTCTCCTTCCCCTCCATCTTCATGATCTCCACCACATTCCTCCTCCATCTCCATCTCCTTCTTCTTCTTCTCCATCTCCATGATCTCCACCACATTCCTCCTCCATCTCCATCTCCTTCTCCTTCTTCTCCATCTCCATGATCTCCACCACATTCCTCCTCCATCTCCATCTCCTTCTTCTCCATCTCCATGATCTCCACCACATTCCTCCTCCATCTCCTTCTTCTCCATCTCCATGATCTCCACCACATTCCTCCTCCATCTCCTTCTCCTTCTTCTCCATCTCCATGATCTCCACCACATTCTTCCTCCATCTCCATCTCCTCCTTCCTCTCCATCTCCATGATCTCCACCACATTCTTCCTCCATCTCCATCTTCATCTCCTCCATCTCTTTGATCTCTACCACATTCCTCCTCGATCTCCATCTTCTTCTCCTTCTCCTTCCCCTCCATCTACATGATCTCCACCACATTCCTCCTCCATCTTCATCTTCATCTCCATCTCCTTCTCCTTCCCCTTCCCCTCCATTTCTATGAGCTCCACCACATTCTTCCTCCATCTCCATCTTCATCTCCTTCGTCATCTCCATTTCCTTTCCCTTCTCCTCCATCTCTTTGATCTCTACCACATTCCTCCTCCATCTCCTTCTCCTTCTCCTTCCCTTCCATTTACATGATCCCCACCACATTCTTCCTCCATCTCCTTCTTCATCATCTCCATCTCCTTTCCCTTCTCCTCCATCTCTTTGATCTCTACCACATTCCTCCTCCATCTCCATCTCCTTTTCCTTCTCCTTTTCCTCTTCTTTGTCTCCTCTTCCTCCTACATTTCTTCTTTCTTCTCTTTGTCCTCTTCTTCCTCTCCCTCTCTTTCTCTTTCCTCTTGTTTCTCCTTCTCCTCCAATTCTCTTTCTCCATCTCCATGTCTTCCACCACATCTCCTCCTCCTCCTCCTCTTCATTCTCTTCTTTCTACTTTTCTTCCTTCTTCTCTTTCTGTTCTTCCTCTTTTCTTCTTCCTCTGTTTTCCTCTTTTGAGCAAGACTCACAGTGGCCATCTTTCTTTTATATTCTCCATGGGTTTCCTTTATGACTAATTTCCATACACTTTCTTCTTCTTCCAAGGGAAATATCCCAGGGTGAGCATCCAGAAAGTGGATTCGAAGGATGGCTTTTCGGGGGAAGCCGCCTTGGCGCATCCTTCTCCCGGCAACAAATCCCAAAACCTTGTGGTTCCGGTCACTCCAGTGGCGCTCAAGAGGTAAACAATGGTGGTTCCCGTTCTCCTTTGGCAATAATAATGTCAAATAGGTGGCACTTTCCAATTCTTCTCCTTCTTCATGAAGAAGAGAAAGATCCTCAAAAAATCAGATGGGTTTTCCCTTATTTCCAAATGGCTTCTCACCTTAGGAAGAAGCGCCTTGTCCCAGAGGAGCCTTTGGAGGAACTGGGAGCCCTTTCTCCAAACCAGTCTCCCATCAAAGCTTGGGCGGATCGGTCCAGTCCTGAGAGAGAAGAACAGATCAGGTATACTGGTATTGTTTCGGCATTGGTTGATAAATGCAAATCAAATCAAAACTGGGTTTCAATTTTATTAGTCTGTTGCCAGGTGAGTAGGCTCATTGAATCCATTGCTGGAGAGAGTCAAGGAAAGGTCAGATACACAGGGAGAAATGTAGACACATAGAAAGCATGATATAGAAAACGTCTTGTTCCAGCATCCCATAGAGAAATTGATAAGAGCCTTGGTCATGGCTCAATATTTGTCCATAGTTCATTATAGGAAAATCCATAGACGAAAGTATGTCCATAAAAGGGAGGAAAGTCCTTGATTTGGGGCAAAAAGGTTCAAAAATCATAAGGAGAGGCTTAGCGATTCCACTGAGCCAAGATATGGAGCCCTGCAACACTGGGGCTGAAGCTTGTCCTTAGGTCCTTGGAGAACTACAATTCCCTCCAAGGTCTGGAACCAGGTGGCAGATCCCCGAAGGCCTCATGGGATGACCACATCAAGTCCCCCGGGTACTGGGGCTCCAAAAGGACGAAGAAGCGATGGCAGGAGCAGCACAGCAGCAGGAAGCTCAGTTTGACAATCAGCTGTTTCTCTATAAATATATTCTCAAAAATAAAAAGGTTATTCCCAGAGCACAGGAGCCCAAAATGCAAAAAGCGAGATAGCAGATAGTGTTAGAATTGAGCTAGGAAAAATATGGCACCAAAATGGAGTCCTTTGGTTAACTCGCGGATACGGGGTCCTGAGGGGTTTCCGTATCCGCGGTTTAAAGAAATGCAGATTCGGCCTCCCTGGGACACCTGGAAAGCATCCCAGGCAGTCCGGTGGCTGCCCGCGGCCCAGAAAAGGGTAAGTTCATGCATTTGATATTTGTGAGTCAGAAAATAGACACAATGTATCACTATGAAGAGGTGAAGGTTACAATTCAATTAGTCTTTATTAGGGGCTTTGTTACAATGTTTGGGCTGGGAGAAAAGCAAAAGGAGAGAGCTCAAGGTTGCAGAGAGTCCTTGGTTGAGGCTGCTGCTGGGGCACATTTCATCAGAGCTGGCCCAACGGGGCATCCAGGAATTGCGGAACTCCCTGCAGCTGGTCAGATCAGCTGGATTCGGCATCTTTATGATGATGATAATAATATAAATAATAAAATAAATGAAAGGCTTCTGTTTGCACATATGATTTTTGTGTGCAAAAACTTTGTCTCAAAGGGAGAAAACTTTCTCATTATCTCAGCAGGGATCCCTGCATGACAATAGACCCTTTGCTTCTTGACTTAGGGTGCATCTGCATTGTGGAATTATTGCAGTTTGGCGCCACTTGAACTGTTTTGGCTCAATAATTTGGAATTCCAGGGGTCATCGTTTGGAAGAGAAGGCTAGAAGCCTTGTAAAACTACAAAGCCCAAGGATCCCATAGCAATGAGCTATGGGGGCTAAAGTGGCATCAAACTGCATTAATTTTACAATGTAGAATGCCACCTTGGGGACTGTTAATGGGTGTCGTAATTCCTTTGCTTTCCATGGGCCGCAGTTTGTCAGGTCGCAGCAGCTCCACCGGAAGCCAAAGCAGCGCCGTGATCAATGACCGTCTGCAAGAACTGGTGCGGCTCTTTAAGGACCGGACGGAGAAGGTCAAGGAGAGGCTGATCGACCCGGATGTCTCCTCCGATGAGGAAACCCCTGCGGCTAGTGAGTTGGGTTTGCAGTCTGAAGTCCGCTTTGGGTTGCAGTCCAAAACCCAACCTGAAGCACACCAAGAATGCATTGGTTGCAGAATGCATGCATTTTGGCATCACTATGTGATGCCTCAATACTAGTCAATGATGAAATTTGGTGAACAGAGACTTTTCTGAGCAGAGACTCTAATTCAGACATCCTTTCAAGCCTGGAAGTGACAAACCTCTCTTGTTGCAGCCTTCAAACCTAGTTTAGGTGTTGATCTGGTTTAAAAGTATCATTCTCTGTTGCAGAATGCATGCACTTCGGCACCACTGTGCTACAGCTCAATGCTATGCAATAATGGGATTTGGTGAGCAGAGACTTTTCTGAGCAGAGACTCTATTTTGTACATCCTTTCAGGCTTGAAAGTGACAAACCTCTGTTGTTGCAGCCTTCAAACCTGGTTTAGATGTTGATCTGGTTTAAAAGTATCATTCTCTGTTGCAGAATGCATGCACTTTGGCACCACTATGTTATGGCTCAATGCTATGCAATAATGGGATTTGGTGAGTAGAGACTTTTCTGAGCAGAGACTCTATTTCATACATCCTTTCAGGCCTGAAAGAATTATTATTATTATTATTATTATTATTATTATTATTATTATTATTATGACAAACCTCTCTTGTTGCAGCCTTCAAACCTGGTTTAGGTGTTGATCTGGTTTAAAAGTATCATTCTCTGTTGCAGAATGGATGCACTTTGGTACCACTATGCTACGGCTAAATGCTATGCAATAATGGGATTTGGTGAGCAGAGACTTTTCTAAGCAGAGACTCTATTTCGGACATCCTTTCAGGCTTGAAAGTGACAATCCTCTGTCTTTGCAGCCTTCAAACCTGGTTTAGGTGTTGATCTGGTTTAAAAGTATCATTCTCTGTTGCAGAATGGATGCACTTTGGCACCACTATGCTATGCCTCAATGCTAAGCAATAATGGGATTTGGTGAGCAGAGACTTTTCTGAGCAGAGACTCTATTTCAGACATCCTTTCAGGCCTGAAAGTGACAAACCTCTGTCTTTGCAGCCTTCAAACCTGGCTTAGGTGTTGATCTGGTTTAAAAGTATCATTCTCTGTTGCAGAATGCATGCACTTTGGCACCACTATGTTATGGCTCAATGCTATGCAATAATGGGATTTGGTGAGTAGAGACTTTTCTGAGCAGAGACTCTATTTCATACATCCTTTCAGGCCTGAAAGAATTATTATTATTATTATTATTATTATTATTATTATTATTATTATTATGACAAACCTCTCTTGTTGCAGCCTTCAAACCTGGTTTAGGTGTTGATCTGGTTTAAAAGTATCATTCTCTGTTGCAGAATGGATGCACTTTGGCACCACGGTGCTACAGCTCAATGCTATGCAATAATGGGATTTGGTGAGCAGAGACTTTTCTGAGCAGAGACTCTATTTCAGACATCCTTTTGTTGCGGAATATACATTACCCCGGATCATTAGAGTGCTTTTGGAGAAGGAAGGAAGATGGAGGAAGCTTGGCAGATTTCCAGGCGTTTATTACTATCTCCGTGGAGTATAGGGTGTTCAACAAATCAGGGGCTGACACAACTTTGAAGTCGCAATTGTTCCAGTTTTTATAGCATAAAATTGCTAGTTTTACACATGCGCAGAACAAATCTGACATTTACACAATACAATCATTAACAGGTGTTTTCATGTATAGTTGCCAAGGACAGCTTTATCAGGTCTTGGCAGGCACGTTGTGACCCCAAACATCTGCTCGGTTATATAACTTATCTCAACTTTCACCCGTTACTCTAAAATGATACGTATATGTTTAATTCCTTTACATCTCTAATTGAATTATAACTTTTATATACTTATAACATAAGATTTGATCAAGGCAATCAATCCAGCCTTAATTACTTCATTACAACTTAGTTCTTAATATAAAGACCAAAGGAATTTGCTTTTGGATGAAACGTTTCTGAAATTGCCTGCTATTTACATTAAGTGGCCAGAGGATGGCGCTCTCTCACCATATGACCTTAGATGTTCCAAGTCTTGGATCGATATATTGATTTCTGTGTCCTGCCAAATTCTCTTGTTGACTTCATATCTATTGTCAACATTGGCTAGAAGAAACACATTGGCTTAGAACACACTGACCTCAGGTCCAGTGTCAATCAATATCATGCAGGTTTCTCCATGCTTGCAAATTAACTCCCTGGAGCAGGTAGGCTTCTATTTTATTCGAAATTATTATGATTATTATTTTATTTTTCTCCTAACGGCTGCCACACTTTCAGGCCTGAAAGCGATAAACCTCTGTTCAGATCCTCATTGCGTCCCTTTGGCTTCACCATTTGTATCTTCCCTCTTGCACTTCTGGCCCTGGGATCTTGCTTTCCATCAGAAGATGAATAAAGGAGAAAGTCCCAAAGGTCTGGTTTGACGATATCTTGTTTCTCCCCCAGCGCCATTGAAAGGAAATCCACAAGAGGAAGAGAAGGAGGCAACTGAGAATGACGAAGCCTACCACGAAGTGCTCTGCTGCCAATTTAAGGCCCGCCCCTTCCTCTGCCGCATGAAAAAGATCCAATACCAGTGGCCCAGCAGCATCGACCCACTCACCAGTAAGTAACTCAGCAGGAGGAACATTAAGTAACAGCAGAAGTTAACTCAGCAGAAGGAGTAATGAGAGTAACTCAGTAGCAGGAACAGTAAGTTGTGGAGAGAAAAAGTGGGGTATAAATAAACCTAATAATAAACATAATAATAATAATAATAATAATAATAATAATAATAATAACAACAACAACAATAACCCAGCAGAAGGAATAGTAAATTGGGGTATAAACAACAACAACAATAACCCAGCAGAAGGAATAGTAAATTGGGGTATAAACAACAACAACAACAACAACTCCTCAGCAGAAGTTATTGAGAGTAATTTAGCAGAAGGAACAGCAAATTGGGGAATAAATAAACATAATATAATAACAGCAATAACAACAACCCAACAGAAGGAACAGTGAGTAACTCAGCAGAAGTAACAGTATATTGGGATGTAAATAAACATAATAAACATAATAATAAACATAATAATAATAATAATAATAATAATAATAATAATAATAATAGCAACAATAACTCAGCAGAAGGAATAGTAAATTGGGGTATAAATAATAACTACAACAGTAACTCAGCAGAAGTTATTGAGGGTACTTGAGCATAAGAAACAGTAAGTAACTAATCAGAATGAGCAGTGAGCAACTCAGCAGAAGAAACTTAGTAACTCAGTAGGAGGAACATTAAGTAACAGCAGAAGTTAACTCAGCAGAAGGAGCAGTGAGTAACTCAGTAGCAGGAACAGTAAGTTGTGGAGAGAAAAAGTGGGGTATAAATAAACATAAACAAAAACATAATATTAATAATAACAATAACAATAACAACAACAATAGCCCAGCAGAAGGAACAGTAAATTGGGGAATAAACATAATATAATAACAGCAATAACAACAACCCAGCAGAAGGAACAATGAGTAACTCAGCAGAAGTAACAGTATATCGGGATATAAATAAACATAATAAATTATAATTATAGCAACAATAACTCAGCAGAAGGAATAGTAAATTGGGGTATAAACAACAACAACAACAACAACAACAACAATAACTCAGAAGAAGATATTGAGGGTAATTGAGCAGAAGGAACAGTGAGTAACTCATTAGAAGGAGCAGTGAGCATCTCAGCAGGCGGAACAGTAAGTAACAACAGAAGGAACAGAGAGTAACTGAGCAAAAGGAACAGTGAGTAACTCATCAGGATGAACCTTTTGGTTAGAATAACTAGCAACGTGAGTATTTACACCAAGGGAGTTCCCAGAAATACAAATGGCTCTTGTCAATGTATTTAATTTGAGTGCAGTTCATATGATTTGCAAACTTTGGCCCTCCCTCCAGGTGTTTTGGACTGCAACTCCCACAATTCCTAACAGCCTACCGGCTGTTAGGAATTGTGGGAGTTGCAGTCCAAAACACCTGGAGGGCTGAAGATTGCTCCTGCCTGATTTAGATGCATTTAGATGACTGGCATGTGTTGGGCTTTTCCTTTTCTCCCTAGACCTGATGTACGTCTTCTGGCTCTTCCTGGTGGTCCTGGCCTGGAACTGGAACTGCTGGCTGATCCCGCTCCGCTGGGCTTTTCCCTACCAGACGGCCGGGAACGTCGGCTACTGGATGGCTGTGGACTACCTCTGCGACCTCCTCTACGTCCTGGACATGGCGCTCTTCCAGGTCCGGCTGCAGTTCGTGGAGGGAGGAGACGTCATCGTAAGTACAACCACGGAATGGGAAGGGACCCCCAGAAGACATCCAGTCCAACTCCATTCCATTAAGGCAGGGGGGTACCATTCGATCCCTCCCAAGAGATGGCCATCCAGAGAACGAGACTCCGCCGAAGGAGTCCCAAGGAAGTAGCAGAATCCACAGCTCTAACCATCAAGTCCTTCCCAGAATAGAATAGAATTGTAAGACTGTAGGATCTATCTAGCAATATTAAATAACCACTCACAAGCCGGTTTTGCTTTGAAATGGATATATTGCTTGTATC